AACGAAGTCGCGAATCGCCTTCGCAGCGAGTTGAAAGCGCGTCCGCGTAACAGAGCCCAATGCCCCGACTGGCGCGACTCGTTGGGCGGGCGGCGCGCCTTCCCGCCCTCGCCCCTGCCCGCCAATACCTTAAATTCCTTGCATTCCACCTCGCACTCTTTAGCACGGCTAAGTGTTTACCGAAGCCCGAGTAAAAATGCCTAATCTCCTTGCGGTTGTCACCTTGTATAAACGAATCATCTACAGTGTGTCAATGAATTATATATGTATATTAAGTTCTCAATACATTTATACATGAGCGTCAAACATATCTGAAACAGTAACTGAAAGAGGTACCTTTATTTATTCTGTAAAATTAAACTGGATATATTATGTTATTACTTAATAAATATTGTACAGGGTCAAGAGCACATCAAATTTGTAAATGCAACTTTATCCGCATGCCATACGAATAGTACAAAGTTCTAAGTGTCAGCTTGATGTGTTCTTGACCGAAGCTGCTAATTAATTTGTCACAATTATATGACACTTCGAGTATTTCTGGTTATATACTCGATGATATGACAAAGACCCGAATTTTGCGTTTCTGAATAAACCCGTCGGTTATTCAGTAAACAAAATAGCGCCTACTAGTGAGCCAGTAAAATAATGAACTTGGAAATAACTCGGACAGCTGCCGCTAGGATAACGGCGAAGGCACTAATTTTAATTTAAAGTAGGTATAATTTAATTTCTGAACTCATTAGCAATTGAAATGGGGCCAGAAGTGCCAGTGAGTAATAAATTTAATTTATTACATTTCCAAACATTCATCATTGCGTCCACATTGTGCGAGTTTTACATCTTTTTGTGTTGATTACTAACTCCTTCTTTTCACGCTATTCGCTTTGGTTCCTTGCTTTCTTGGCCGTGGCAGTGTCTTGTTAACGTTTTTCAGAAATTTGTATTTTCTTTCTTTCTAAAAATAATACATATTTATCTACGGTTAATATAAAATTCGTGAAAATTAAGAGAAATTATTTTATGGGTAAGTTAATACGAAAACAAACCGGTTTTACCATCACGATCCTTCCCAACTCGTGAAAATCAGCTGTTCAATATTTACTATCTAAATATTATTGTCTATCTGCTCTAACATGTAAGGAACGGCTGTTTTTTCGTGATATCCCATAATGTAGTCGGAACCTATATACTTAATTGGATAACCAATAAACGCCTAAATATCCAAACCACTACTTAGTTAATTTATTTACTTACTTTTACGCATGTAACTATTTGTTACACGACTTCAAAAAGGGTGGAGGTCTATTCGACTTTATTCTTTTTTGATGCATGTTACCTCTGTATTGATCCCATTTAAATTTGAAGAAAATATTCCACCTCCAAGGGTGACAAACTAGGGGATGAAAACCGGGGAAACTTGGTAAATAAATTTAATTACAAACTTTTGAAGTTTTTTTTTAATAAAAAAGTGTATTAACCTTAGATTACATAAATAAGTAGATCAAAACTCTTTGCTCACAATGGCTCTGCTATTTTGAAGGGTGAACAGGCCCTTGAAATTCCTGCCATATTTCCGCTTAAAAGACACCTGTGTTATGGAAGCGACATTTTGTGGTAAGTAAATTCCTCCACTCCATATCTGTGCCTACACTCCTCGCCACATCCTATCCGTAAACCGTTCAGCTTGCTATTTGTTCCTCGGGAATGAGAAACCTTAATGTTTTCTGAATGGCTTCTCAGAGTTTGCGACGACTCCTGTTTCCACCTCTCTGTGATATTGAATGGTGTCCATTTGTATTTCGTAGCTAGTTAGAGAAGGTGGCGGGATTTAAATCGGTGTGCAAGAAGATTCAAGAACTCGTCGTGACGGACTGATTGGACTTATTTTTAACCGACTTCAAAAAAGGGAGGAGGTTCTCAATTCGACTGTATTTTTTTGTATGTAGGTTACGCGATGACTCCGGCTCCATTTGTGAACCGATTTAGATAATTCTTTTTTTGTTGGAAAGAAAATATCTCAGTATTGGTCCCATTTAAATTTTAAGAAAATATTCCACCTCTAAGGGTGACAAACTAGGGGATGAAAACCGGTTTCGCGCACTTTCCGGTAACCGATTTCAATGAAACATGGCAAATAGAAACTTTTGAGGTCGGTTTTTAGTACTCTGTATTGAGATTATCGGATCTTATTTACATCTATATGAAGGGCCTGTTATCTGGGCCTGACAGATTGTGGCTAAGAGTTGGTATCTAATTTAATAGTGTGGAAAGTCCACCATAATAATAGTAAAAATATACCTCATAACCTTACCTAAACATAACGTTTAGTTTCATGCCCACACTTAGTAGGTACTTTGGGTACATTGGGTACATTACAAAGGTCATAATTGTTTGTACTAGGCGTTGAATTAAGCGCACTTTTGTTCAGAAGATACCTACAGCTAATTTATTTTCACAGTGAAAGCCCATATAACAGTGGCTAAAAATACCATCTGATGTACCTATATCAGAAATTAGGTGTACCTACACCTGATTATTAAAATTCCATAAAAGCTTATTACTTTACATTTGGAATGACTTATCACTATTAGAGCGACAAAAAGTAGTGTAATGTATTTTTTTAAGAAAAATAATCATAACTCTTATTATATTTCTTAAATTTTAATCGCTCTCCTGTAATATTTTTCAAGTGCACGTTGACGCTTACATTTCCAGCGTCGGTATGTTCTGTTTTGAATTATTGTGTGTGGCAAATAAATGGTTTAAATATTATAATAATTTTATTATTACATGTATTTTTAGGGGTTTTTACTTATTTAAAGAAGTACTAACAGTCAATCTTTTGACTTAATGGTGATTACATTAAGCAACATTTATACAGGGTTATTTTTAAAATACTAACATCCCCATATGACAATGTTACCAACATCATAAACAACAACTTTTGTTCCACAATTTATTAAAAACCATAATATTCACCAAAAATAAACTTTTAAGTATTTGTTGTACTGTCTTACGCTTTTTAGATCTATATTTGGTAGAGTAAATACAAACGTGCAAGCATCCTCCCATCCTCTTTCTGCACAGAGTTATTACCGTTTGGACCGATCTAATCTATTCAATTTTATATGAAAGTAAAATTTGATGAATTAATAAAAGTCATGGAAGAAAAGTTGTTGTTTATGATATTAGTAATGTAGTAGGAATTTTAATAATAAAGGATTTAATGTTTAGTGTCGTATGCATTATCTGTCGACTACGATACAACTACACGATTTCTTACAGCACTCTAAGAGTCACCCAAGTAGACAGTACGATTATTAATCACAGTCATCACAGTGCAGTGCAATACACGTTCGGAAACGGACGCTACACTACGTAATGAATCAATTATTAATTATAACTCGCGTTTCGCGTAATTGACAATGGGTTCCCAGCAAGTCATTGCCATTGGGCTCCTGGCGTTTATTCAACACATCGTCGTCACCATAGACGAAGTCAGTATTGTGCAGATCTGCAAATCGAATTTCAATGAGTATAAGATTTGCCATGGCAAGATGCTGTTGTTCCAGAGCCTCGGTAAAGCCGAACAGAAGAGCCACGATAGAGAAGAGACTATAACCTACTAACTAACCACTAACCACGAAGAGATATTATCACACTGCTGAAGGAGACTAACCCGCACGACGTGCCTACATTCGTGGCGAATGAGCTGCATAAGCTGCCCCCCATCACGTTCGACCACGTGGAAGTCACTAGGCCATTACGTCCACATTTTCAGGGGCATTACGTCCCTGAATGTCGAGTCTAGCCGAATTTGGCACGGAGCTGCGTGCCCAAGTTGCGTTACTAAGCAAAGCTGCCTCGGTATGTCCGTCATCACAAGCCTCTAAATAAAAGCAGAAACACGCGTAATGGGGCGCAAGATGCATTCATCTGCAGTTTTGAGTCGGCATATAATCAATGCACCTCACCCCGCTACCTGTCACGCGTGTGCACGTCAAGTAGCCGCTTCAACTAACCGACCCGCCACTGCGAAATCGAGCGGCGGCCATCTGCTAAGGGAAAAAGCAAACCTCGTGTGCCTGTCTCTGAAGTTGCAAAACTACAGAGGCAGACGGACCGGTGCGACGAGGACGGTTTCATCAAGATGGAGAAGAGGAAGAGGAAGCCCACCAGCCGTAGCCTATGTGGCACAGCACCGACAGGATCGAACTTTCTGTTACATCCGACCATAACGACAACGCCGCTGCACCTGTCGCAACTGCATTACTCCACGAAATCTGAGTGGAGTACATCAAGGTAAAATCCAAATACACTCTGACAGTCGAGCGTTTGAAGTCCCGCCACAATGTGAATTTAAATTCGTTTGTGGTGAAAGTGCCAACCGAACATCTGTCGATCTTCATGAAGGAGGCCTTTTGGCCGAAAGGATTCCTGAGGGAGACCTGACACCAAATTGCGCCACTGGTCGCCGACAAGTGTAATTCGTGTAGATAAGTTATTTAGTAAATATAGTGTTTTATTGTATTGTCTGTACGTTAGTCCTTAAGGTATAGATTATATGAGTTATGTGGCCTGAATTAAATAAATAAATTAAATTAATATAAAATGCTCCTTTAGATTGGTAACAATGATACAAACGTACTTATTCCCGTAACACGTTATATACGGACATTAAGGTAATTATTAATAATTTACTAGCCAAAAACAAATTAAACGAATCAAGAAAGTGGTGTGGAGGATTAGGATCCCTAAGGATCTAGGCCTTGTTTTTTTGCATTTTCCAAAGGATACCACCTGGACATTCGAAGTTCAGGGTGAACAGGTATCGTCTAGTACCAACAGTTGCTGTCAATTGTGTTCAAAAATAAGCCTATCTTACATAAAAAAGTCAAACTCCTAATTAGATTAAACTTAAGTGCCGTAACCGTACAAGTAGATACCTTATACATTCTATCTCTTACCTCCCTTTTCCACTTGGAAATGTTCAAGTACGTATATTACTAATCTAATCCCGGGACTTGTTTTTCTTCCAAGAAACCGTCTCATTATCTCGTGTACTCACCTGCAAAGAATATAGAAGCATTATATTGTCATACTCAGCTTTCGTACTTGTGCTGTAAAATAGGCGAAGATACGTGAGTCTTCTTTCTCTACCTAGTATTTTCGTAGTGATTGTAAATATTGCATAACGATATGCATCTTTTCTTGCGCATAGGGCCGCTGACCGTACTCTCAAAAGACACTGGAATTATAAATGTTAAGATAGATCGATTCGACTATTGTACTACTATAAAATAATAACCAATTCCAAAATGAAAAAAAAAAAAATACAATCAAAAATTTTAGTACATTAGTTTGAAACTATGATATTCTACGTTTAAATACGACTTCAAAAAAAGGATGAGGTTCTCAATTCGACTGTATGTTTTTTTTGTATGTATTTTACGCGATAACTCTCACATTTGTGAACCGATTTTGATGATCCTTTTTTTGTTGAAAAGAGGGTACCCCAGTAGTCTCATTTCATAATATTCCTTAATATTTGATGCCGGTTTTTTAATACCTCTGCACTGAGATTATTTAGCAGGACAGTCAATGAACGCCATTACGCGACGCCGCCGTCGACGTCTTTTGGTACCGCGTATTATTGTGATTTAAGTACGTTCGTCATATTATAATTTTATATGCCACTGATATTAAGTATTATCTAACTCACGGACTTGTGACGCTTGAGACTTTTGTACAGGTAAAACGACACTTCATTTGTTAACGACATCACGGCGGTATCCGCGGCTTTCACGGATTATTCAAAGAATAAGTTATCAACCAGTTGACTTGGCGAATGGAAAGGCATTGAAAGACACATGCCCAGAATCATCAGAAGATGTATACAAAGTAACGTATATAAACAATTAAAAATTTCACTCAAATTTGAGGGACATAAGCCTTTGTTATTTAATTCGACTTATAATTCTAATTTTAGTCAATGCTTCATCATTTAGAAATCGGCGTAAACATACCTACCAGTACTATATATTTTTACACCAAACCCAATTTTAATAAGTGTCTTAACAATAAGTTTTAAAAGTAACGCGTTTAAAAAAAAGGTTATATGTAACTTGTGTGTCAAAGTTACTAGATGGAAAATATGTGTAAATACAACATAACAACACTTAACAATAAATTGTCAACCGCAGGCAGTGTCTCTACAGAAACTCATGCAAGTTGGCATATAATCTATGTGAAGTAAAAGAGCTGTGAATTAATGAATGATGCATTAGGTACTTGTGCAATTCGTCGCTGTATAAATCCGTGTCAAACAGTAACGTCATAAGGCGTAAGAAGCTAGTTCAAGCAGAATTGAACTCACGTTTCTCGAATGACGTCACTCGGAAAATGTACACGGCATCCCAGTTTGGGGTCAATGGCCAATCTACAAATAGAAAAATCCAATTCAAGCTTTTTAGGTACGTACTTACACGACACAAATGCGAAAAGTGCATTATGATTATTATTATTAGCCAATTTTGCTACACGTTTTCTTCCGTTTATGAATATATTTCAATGCAGGAATGAAGGCATTTAGACACGTAAAATTCATGCCAATAATGTAAATGGAAACGAGATCATAGAAAAACACCTTTATGAAAAAAGTTAAAGAATTTAAGAAAGTAACAATTTTGAATATTAAAAAAAATCTCAAAAAAATTATCGCTGTCACAAATGCATACAGAATACTGAACGTGGATCAAAAAATTTTTTGCCGATACTCTAATGAATGTACAAATAAAAAATAAATGGTATTTGATCATTCCACTGTGATTTGATATTATGATAGGTCGTCATATCTAGTTTTGTATATCTTAAGATGTGCAACGACGAAAGTATTCGTGAAAAACCTAAATTGTTCCCGTTTACGCTCTTATCGAAAAAAGTCAGGTTTTTTATCATTAGCTCTTTCATCCAATAATTTTTGGTACGATCAATCTTTAATAAAATATTCACGATTATGGAACACTGACTGAAGTTCTATGGCGTTATCAATTAAATAAATTGAATATAAGCATTTTTTATAAATACGTGATAAAAATCGGATAGTTTTTTGGAGTTCGGTTTAGACCTACAAATTACAGTATAGATTTTAAGACTTTCGTGGTTATTCACTAAATGATTATCACTAATATCAGGTTTCTTACCATGGTATGACTTCTTTTCATTTTCCCGATATTTTGTATTGCACAATTGCACAATTATTTAGCACGTCTTAACAACACCCATAACAAATGAAGTTCACTTGTGAAATTGAGAAAAATCGCGTGCTTGCATTTTTGGATGTATTGGTCAAAGTCCGACAAGGCGGTTCACTCGGTCATTCTGTGTACAGAAAACCAACTCACACGGACAAATATTTACATGCAACTTCACATCATCACTCAAAACGCCTACATTCGGTCGTCAGGTCATTAACCAATAGAGCTTATTTATGATCTTTGTGATGCACACCACCTACCACAGGAACAGGAGCACGTTAAGACGGTTTTGCGACAGAATGGATACAAAATAAAAACATTTAAACCAATACACAAAAGGAAGAAGCAAATTGACGTACAGAGACTACCAGTTTTTCTGCCATGTGTACAAGGGGTGACAGATAAAATAGACAGGTTGCTAAGGAAGTTTGCCATAAAAACTGTTTTCACTCCTTAACCAAAATAGGAAAAATGTTACGTTCACCAAAAGACCACCTTCCTTATTACAAACACCGGGTGTCTATAAAATGAACTGCAGTTGTGGGAGCTCGTATATCGGTCGGACTAAACGAACAATTGTCGATCGTATGAAGGAACACATACGAGCAGTAAAAAACAATGATGCACAGAAGTCGACTATAGCACAACATCTCACACAGACTGACACTAACCACTGGATCGAGTTGCATAGCCCCCAGGTACTCTCGACAGAACGTCACTACATACCACGGTTGATACGAGAAGCCATCGAGATCACGAAGTACAAAACATTTAACCGTGATGATGGTTTTAAACTATCCAGTGCATGGAATCCGGTCCTTAGTGCGTGCAGTAATAAAAACAAAAACACCTCGAGTTCAGTTTTGCGTATGGATACAGTGAGTGTGGTTTGTGTGAAAAAAGTGAATGATAATGGTAACGCCACAACAAATCGCGATGAAGGTAGTCGTCGACAGCGCAAGAGGGTAGACAGATATGTCTGCTCTTAAAGCTGTCATCTGCCGCCGTCTAGTCAACCCGTGACCATGGAGAGTGCAACCGTTCCGATATATCAGGAAAATGAAAAGAAGTCATACCGTGGTAAGAAACCTGATATTAGTGCTAATCATTTACAAATTGCAGTGTTTTAGATTATAGATTTTCATTATAAACATGTTAGCCGACTTTAAAATTTAATTTAAAGTGTTAGGAACAGCCGCGTGTCGATAAAAAAGTTGATTCACCCATATAAATCTGAAAAAGGTCGCCGTTATCTAAAGATTGGCGCTCAAGTGCGATTGTTATCGCGATAGATATTGTGTAAATTTATAACATACCATTCCACTATTGCGTCATCTATATCATTACACGTGGACGGCAGATTTTTACTAATATGCATGTCAATTACATTAAGCGTTCGTAATTTTATAGTTGCATATTCAAGACAAAGCCACCAACGTGAGTAAATTTTCGTAAAATCAATCATTATAGTGTACTTTTCATGCTCTAACTACGGTGGAATTAAAAAAGCAGATTTATTAACGTAAAACTGAAATGATTTAGTTACAAAAACTACACTATTATGAATTAGATAATTCATTCTACGAAAATTCACACAATTGAGTTTTGCCTCGGAACCCTGAAATATACAAAGCGCATGAAATAAGTACCTATGGCTTCTTAAGAAATTATTGCTGTTTATTTAGCTCTTGAACATAAATGAGCTACATTAATTAGCTATAGCATATCTAGTCATACAATATCAAGTGTAGTTTACGTACCCATCATCTCCGTTCTGATGAACCACGTCAGTCGCGGCATCCGCATCATGCTCATGGTCCAAACCATTGCAAGTATCCACCACTAACTCAGGGGGTTCGCTCATCGCCAATTATGCCGTAGCAACAATTTACCCGACCGAACCACGACGAGCCAACACCGCAGACTGTCCACTGCGCCCTTGGTAAAAGATTAACCTTACTACAAGTACTATTATTAAATTAAGCTAAGTTAACTCACAGACGATGTGAAGCATAAGCATGCGCCGTTGACAGCAAACGGGTCACGAACGCACACTTATGGCTTCGTGAGTAATCCCTTTAAAGAGTAGAAGTGTCCACCTACAACTACATGGACAAGTACATGTACAAGTACATGTACTAAGGAGCTACTTACTAGCCTTACTACTTACCTATGTAGGAAATGATTCGTTTGCAATAAATACTACATGAACCATTTACCTACTGAAAATTTAATATTACCCAAGTTCTATTAAAAATTGATTTTAACAATCAACATTCTTGACAGAAGCAATCACATCTTATATACTAAATCTATGTGCCTGATGGTCTCAGATGTAAACAATCACTTTATCACTTTATACATCATAGTGATCATTTCAATCACATTTTTTTGTATATGACACGTAATTGTCATGCAAGAGCACCTAACTATTTATTTATTTATTCGTTGACGGAAAACAAGTTTTCAAAACACTTTATAAAAACAGGGGTAAAAAACACACGGCTAATTATAATAATAATAATAATAATTTCTTTTTCATCATTTATTTGTGGAAACACAGGTTATATAGAAGCTGACATATACAAAATACGTATAGTTTCACTGTCCGGCCAAACAGTAGGCATACAAATTTGAATACATTCACTCACATGCACTTCAACAGACTAAACCAGGTGTAACATGTTCCGTTTTTCAATAATATTACATGAGCGTGCACACATGGATTTAATAAGTCGGTTAAAATTTAAAAGCGATGATAGTTACATGGGTCGATTTTAATGGTAATTAGATGTCAAAATAATATCGTAACATGAATAACGTCAATAACGTCCAATGTCAAAAATTAGATTTTTACTAGACTTGTTTAATTGTTTTTTAAATAGCATAAGGTTTTTCTCAGACTTTAGTGTAACTTCCGTAAATTGTTGTAAATTTTTGGCGCCATTACAAAAATTATAGGTTTCCGCCTATAGTTCCAGAAAAATCAAACACCAAAAAAGAACAAACAATAAACGCACATACAGAACAATATTTATATAGAATGGAACCCAATACCTGCGTCACTAGAGGCATGAATTATTCAATAAAATGTTTATGAGTTTACGCTTTATGTGCATTCACATTACAATTGATCCTTCACATCCAGATCATGATTACTCATGACAAGTCCAAACTCTTGCGAGTTCTACAAACAAAACTATATTGTTTAATGAGTTCCCGCTAAAAAGAGGCATTCATTATCCTTTTTGTTGCAATACGCTTTGCAGTCCCCCGCGTAATGCAGGATTATAAATGTATAGTCATTGTGCCGTGGACTCTAAAGAGCTGCTAATCTCCATAGTACAGACAGAAAACAAAAGTAACGAAAATGGACACCATATATCATACACTACATGATGGACAATCTCCGCCCCTCCCTAGTTTTAAATACCGCACATTAACCGTCACATTGACTGAACGACAACAAGGCTGTCGGCGAGCCGTTTTCGCGCTAAGACGGCTTTAATATTTGAATATAGTTTTCATTTTTTTTCATTACGAAACTTGTACTACGTTAATATACAACATCATTTTGTACGTTACTATTTATTATGGTCGTGAGTTGTGCTGTGTACGGCTGTTTATCATCATCATCATCTAAACGGGATAAAAGCAAGCCCTCTCTTGCTTTCGTTTTCCGAGAGATGATTGTATTGCCGCTAAATATGTAGTGAATATAATTACTAACTAAGTCTAAGGGTCGTATTCTAGAACTCTACTCAATGCTCAAGTCAGGATTGCAATTGAAACACAATCACTAGAAATACGACTCTAATGGCAGGGACTTGAGTATGATTTCGAGTGCTTTAAACCATACTCAAATCCTGACTTGAGCATTGAGTAGAGTTTTATAGAATACGACCCTAAGTAATGATAAAGTTGAACACGCAACCTTCAAGATTATTCTAATTAGTAAATTTATGAAAAATATAACATTACATTGATTAAAAAAGAACCTAATGAACATGTGTAATTGTTAAGATTTTATTGATAGAATTATAAATAACAGATTCGCGTTAGAAATTTCGCTATGTTGCTCTGACCAGTGACCACGTAGGTACGAGAAAGCGATGGTAACCCTGCCTGTGTAAAAAATGTTACACTCGCTTTCGTCAGGAAATATCTATTCCATTAGAATCCTAATAGCGATACAGTAAATAATGTATTCAATCAATTTAAACGGCTTGACTGCAAACTTTAATAGATTACCTTCGATCGCGTCCACACTTAACGTAATAGGTCCTGATTGTTTACCAACATGTAACAGTATCTACCCATCTACTCAACTACGCACCAACAATGTATAGTTCCTATAATTTATTTATCTCTGTATATCAGAAAGCATCTTCAAACAATAACACTGACGCGTAGAAACCGATCACGGTATAAGTATTCCTGTCATTTTCAGATCACGTAAATACATAAGTCTTCGTGTGATGCCTATTTTATGTAAGGTTATTGTAAATAAATAAGAATCACCCTAAAGGAAAGCAACACACTATTCCACAGCCTACGCACTTGTACATACTGAATAACGAATATTTATATTGCTAACGTATCTATACGATACTGCACGTTTACCATTTATGTTTAAAATCCTATCTTCCAAGAAAACTAATCACGTTACAGTTAGTCAGTGCTAAAAAAACCAAGAGCACGCAAAATAACTTAAGTAAGTATACTCGTAAAGTGATAATCTTCGTTCCTTTAGCTAGTCTTAGGGGACTTTTTAGGTAAATACAAACAAGTAGTTACAAATAATAATGGTAAGTAACTACGGGTTATTATCATTCGTTACGAAATTAAATTTTCTATGTACGGTTAAGTAAGTACGTTGCACATTATAATAATGTAGAAATATATATTTTTTTATGGTTAAAATATAATAGTGTAGAAATTGGTGGTCGAGGATGGGCAAAAGTGCCGTTTGCAAGGTGGGGCGACGCGTCGACATAGTACACGTCGCAGAGCGTCAATGGATTGGATTCTGGTGGATGATGATGATGAATGTAGAAATATATTTTTTATGGATAAAATAAGTGCGTACTTGACCTCCATCTCGCATGATAGAAAGTGATGATGAGTTCGATGACGGAGCGTGCAAATGTGCTCTGTGGTGCAAACCTGTATAATGCGTAGGTAGTCACTCTCGTCGTTAAAAGGCCGAAGTTATATTTTTTATTTATTTATGTTCAGGTTACAAAAGACCCATAAATACATAGCTTATAGACATTACACGTACACAATAATATAATAAAATACTAACACTAATTATTTATTTACAGGTGTTAGCCGCGACGTGAGACGCAACGTGGGTGTCCGGTAGTTCAAGAAAATATTGTTGGTTTTCGTCAATCCACAATAAAATACGACATCTTTTAATAGCAGTAGAGCTCCTTGTGAAAGACTTGTGAAGTTTGTCCCGTCACTTGGTATTATAAAAAAAGTAATGTGAGCATTTCTGCATTCCAGTTTTGAAGGGTAAGGGTGTTGGTGAAATTACAGATTCTTGTACTTATCAATGTCTCACAGTGACGGGCGCGGTGGTAGTGGCGGTAGTGGCCCTCAAGTCTAAGCTTTCCAGCGGCACGACAACTGTTATGGACAGGCGTGTTGCTTTACACGAGGCGGAGTACGTAACGTAGTAGTACTTAGTCGTCTTAGTATCATAAAAAAAAATCTTGCGTTGTATGTATATATAAATGAATGGAATAATTTATTCCAGGAAACAGGAAAAAATTATAGGTGATTAAGTCAACCTTATCAGTAGACCTAGATACATCCGGAAATCACGCATATACGTATACCTACTCTTATCTTCTGACGTTGAGGATATCTTCACTTTAAAACTCTATTTACAAATAGTGACTATATTACTACTTTATTATAAAAAAAATTCGCTTACGTTAACTATACATTATTGTGTATTAACATGGTTAGCTAAACTAACGGTGTTTGCATATATCTAGATACTTGCAAGTAGGCGCGGAATATACGCTATAGATACTCATATCATTTCAGATATGCTCCCAGGTATACGTCTTGGGGATGTAACAACCCTCAGGGTACAATTTTGGGAAAAACTAACTCCCTTTATGTACTATTTTAGGAATGCTATATTTATACTTCATCAACGTTGTTTTTTCGGTGCCCTTAGGGGATTTTCACTCTAGGTACAAAGCGGCCTTTCGTATTTCTAAGATTTATAGTTTTTTCTTTATGCAGATGTGATGTAATATGAACATTTTGTTATTATTCACTAAGTAATTCCATTCCCAGAAGATATTACCTGTAAAAAACATTTGCTTTCTTTATAGCAGCGTACAAACTAATTTAAATGAAGTTTTTTGTAGAGCCTTTGCTTTAGCCTCTGCATTCACCCTGTGTTAAGATTATATCGCATGGCTACCCGAAAAACAACTATCAATAACTAGATGACCTACGATGTAATCTAACGTTTAAATACATATCAAGTTCTGTAGCCTTGTTAGGCTAATGATTTGACCTACCGCCTCTCAAGCGGAGGCCGTGGGTTCGAATCTGGGCTCGCACCTCAAGTTTTTCGGAATTTATATGCGAAATTTAATTTGAAATTTACCACGAGCCTTTCAGTAAAGAAAAACATCGTGATGAAACCTGCACGCCGAAGATGTTTGTAGTTCCCAACTCGAATTGAGCTAACGTAGCGGCCTATGGCTTAAACCCTGGCCTGAGAGGAAACCCGTGCCCAGCAGCGAGACTTGTAAATGAGTTGATGATGATGATGAAGTTCTTAGGTTTTCGCCTATATTTCTTTTAACTGCTTCCGTGGCCGA